AATTGGACATTTAAAGCTTTAATCTACAAAGGATATAACCCCTGTAGACTAAAGCTTTAAATGTCCAATTTAAAACGAACAAATTCGAGTGCGGTGGCTGTTTCAGGTCTCGCGCTTCAGGAGATCATGAAGCGCGCCTTGATTAATTGTTAAAGCACAACGTTTTCTTGTTATAAATAAATTTATTTGCGAATAATGTATTATTATTTTCTGTATGATCAGAAATTAAAGAGTATTTTAAGTTGTTTCCACTGAAAGAAATGCAATGAAACTGTTCACATGGGCGTCTCGCAGCCATCAGTGCGTGCTCCACACACACTGGATATGCGCTGATATTTGTCAAAAATATTGTGTTTATTTGTGCTCTGTTCCTTTTTTGGATAAAGGCGTCTTCTACATATGCAGCCTAATAAAATGTTACAATAATGATGATGATGGTTATTATTATTATTATTATTTGCAGACACGGTGTTTTTGTGAAATGGACGTTTTGCTTATTTTCAATTGGCAATTTCAGTTTGAAGGGTGATGGAAATGCGGCTTTAACTGCTCCGTACTTGCTGCGTTTTATTTCTATAAATTAATTTCGTTTCAAATGGGGTCCAGTCAGTTATTAAAGGTGTTAAAAATTTACTCTGTATCTCGAGGTTGCGGCGCGCACACTATGCACCAAGTATTAACCGATGGGATCGGTTAACGATTAGCCTAATGAATAACTTGAAAACGTGCCCGCAGCCCTAAAGTTACTTGTTAAATCGCGCAAAAAATCGCTGCTTGAAATGGAGAATCGCCTGTACTGGTCTCGGGACACTATTGCAGCCACTACGGCAGTTGAGTTATACATGCTATCTTCCTAATTTAAAAAAATAAATTAATTCATAATACCCGCTGAAATGGGTTGGGTTTTATGACGTTTGATCCTGAAAGGCGTGTTAGGGGTGGGGTCTGGGGCAGCGCTGTGGGGCTACTGGCCCGGCAGTGGAAACGCAAGCCCGGTGCTTGAGGCCCGAGGCCACTAGCTCGGCCCGGCTCGCTGTTAGCTCTGGCCCAGCCCTAGCCCGGCAGTGGAAACGCGGCTATTGTAAACACACACACACACACACACAATATATATATATATATATATATAAATTTGCCTTATAAATCTGAGAGGGCACGTGCCCCGCGGTTTGAGTAGGCACCTCTGATCATTTCATAATGTTTTCTCACCTTTGATTAAAATGTGTGCAACCCCACCCACATTTCACAGCCATGTAAAAAAAAAGGCTAGTGCCACATAACTTTATCAGAACTTCTTTTAAAAATTGAACTGTCGTCAGACCATGGACATCTCTTTATTTTACAGTTCCAGGATGAGGAGCACAAGAAAGTAATAATAAGGCTACTGATTTTATCTTCTGCTTTTAATTATTATTTATCACAATAATAATTATTATTAATTAAATTATTATCTATCACAATATTATTTATCACAAATGGTAACGTTGTCCGGAAGGTTAACGCCCATTACCTTTACGGGCGAAACGTGAGCTCCGGTCCAGATGTAAATATGTGTCGAACTGCGGTATCAGTTTGAGGCAGAATCAGACCGAGAAAGCGGCGATGAAGAGAGTACACAGAACCTCACCACACACGGCTCTTACTAAACGTTTCTGAATGATAATTTGCTACATTTTCTAACTTTATGCACGTTTGTTTTAAACAATAGCATCTGACTGGCAACAATAGTAACTGACTGGCTACTAATGTTAAACAAAAACAGCGTTGGCATTAGTTTACGTTCTTGATCAAATCGAAAATAACGCCATAAAGCATATCCACAAGTTTCCGAGGGGCGCTCCTGTAAAAAATAAAGTGGGTGAAACTTCCGGTGACGCGGCGGAAGTAGCATTCCAATGGTATTTTGTGTGTTAGTTAGCGAAGAGGCTAGCTGTTTTTCGGAGAATTATTTTACTATTTAAAGACGCAAATCTTTATGAGAGATGTCGTTACGGAGCTCAGGGACAACATGTGCTGTTCACGGTTGTGACTAAACTAATTCAGTGGCTTAAACGTGATTGTTTTGAACATTAAGCTGAAAACGAAATCACAGTGATCCTGCCAGCCCGTCTCTGATCCTGCCAACGACTGTAGTTTCCATCACCTCCCAAAAGACGACGAATCTTCCTGTGTACATTTGTTTAAATTCTTAATATTCTATAAACTCTATTAGCATGTGTTTGGCTGTTCGCTACTGATGTTACACCTAAACTCAGGATTAAAGCCTGTGTTGACAGAATACCAATGTGCCAGTTAATGTATTCAAGTAGCACATTCATTTATAATTTTGAATAAACTCCAAAGCACAATGACTAAATGTGTATTTTTTATTTTAATTGTTTGTCAGCTCACACAACTGTCTTTCACCATGCCTTGATGAGTATTGATTATTAATAATGTTATTATAATACTCCCAATCAACTACTGCGGAGGGTAAAGGTACTGTTATTTCACCCTTTTGAATTTCGTTGAGGTTGTGTTCCCACATCGTTAGCTAGTTTGGATCGCTATAACTTGAATGACTGTCAACTGTTGAATGAACGAGTATCAAGCATGTCAAGTCGCGCTTTGTTTACTTCCAACCGGAAGTCGCGCCCACTTTTGACGCAAGGCCTCATGGGGCGTAGGAAACTTGTGGATATACATGAAAAATAAGTTTAAAACATTAGTACGTACAAAATTCAGGTCCATAATGTTTGTACGCGTTTGTCGTAGACACAATAGCATTACTAGTAGACTACAATAGCATTACTTACTACTAGGCTAAGCCAGCGCTGGCATTTGAAAAAAATAAAACACAAGGCTACGTCTGGAAATATTCATGAAAATACATTTAAAATGATTAAGTCTTAGCCTACTTACAGGTTGTGGCCCAACAACTGCTGCCTCTGGTTTTAAAGTTGAAACTGCGTCACGTTTTAGTAACAGTTTCTTTTTAAATCCGGTGTTGAACTCGTGGAGATTCTGGAAGCTGTCTTCCGTAAAATGCGCAGCACAGAGAGCTAGATTACGATCGTCATTTTCAGGAACATAATCAAACATAAATTGTATCCATTGTTGACGAAGTACAGCGTCTGTGGAAAGTTTGAATACAGAAGACCTGACAGATGGATGAACAACTCACTCGACGAGCTGGAGCTGCTGAAATATGCGCATGTCCTTTTCTGCATATTCCGGAGGGAGGGTTGATGCAAATGTGTGGGTTAGTGACGTACCATAACCTAGCTGTAGTCCCAATCGAGTCGTTTTTGTAGGCAATTATACTTCCTGATTTTAAAAAGACGATATCTCTGCTTACATTGAACTTTCAGCGCTGCAACTTTGCAGATACTGTTCATTAGGGTTGGGAATCGTGAGAAATTTTCCGGTTCCGGTTCCGATTCCGGTTCCACCAAACGATTCCGGTTCCGGTTCCGGTTCCCATTCAATTAAAAATATTAGTAAGAGAAAAATCCACAATCCTTTTTGTGTTTATTTCTTATAGTACTTGACAAATTAGTTTAACAGACTGGTAATGTAAACAAACTCAAAATATTATTAAGCAATCTTTGCAAAAAAAAATATATATATATATATATAAAGGAAATTAAAAAATTCTGCATTCTCTATAATAATTTAGACCTCTCCTTTATTGTATCTCCAACAGTGAAGAATACCCTCTCAGAAGGAGTAGAATATGCTTTAACACACATATGTGTGTAGAACAGATTATTTTTTTAAACGGTTTGAATGATTGATTCATAAAGACTTTACTTATTTCATTACTGGATAAATCGGCGCTCTAGCAGTTAATAAACAGAACTGCATGCGTCTTGCGGAAGAACATTGTTGCCGGAGCTACTTCTCTCTGTTTATGTCCATGACGAGTCACGCAGGCATTGGGCTACTCCGCAGCAGCTGCGATCCGCCGGCCAGTCTAAACAAGAAGTCCGAGTATTAACGCTTATTACAGGCTTTACGTAGTGATTCAAGATAAGACAAAAACACGGTTTGAAAAAAAAAACATTATGATGCACTCGCTCATTGTATATATTTTGTAAATTCTGAACACAAAAAATATACGGACTGCATCTGTTTTGACCACTACCGTCAATGTTTACTCAAACTATAATCTCACTAATTCTGTAACGGAAATCATTTGAATATGTGAAACAAATAAATATTGAGACTGTGTGATTGTAAAGCAGTTTCATATCGACAACTGCTCTCTCTCTCTCTCAGCGCAAACAGATTTGAATGTAGGCTAGAGAGCGACTCGGCGGTCGGCGCGCGCAGTGTGCGTGTGTCTGTGTGTGACAAATGCAGCGCGTGTGAGAGCAAATCGCAACTTCAGTGGTGAAGTTTTTGTCATTTAGGAATAAGACGGCGTCTTCTACTCCCAGAACTTCGCCCACATGATGATATCGCATCGGCATCAGAACCGTTTTCGGAACCGAAACTTAGGAATTTTGCACGGTTCCGGTATTTTTTCAAAAACACAACCGGTTCTGGAAAAGAACCGGTTCTCGGTTCCCAACCCTACTGTTCATGCACAAACAGCAACATTACACACTATTTAAAATTAAAAAAGTGAAATCGCAGTCAACCCCCCCTTTAAGAAGCCCTCCTATTCTCCACTCATTACCTGTATTAACTGCACTTGTTAACTTTATAAAAGATACCTGTCCACACACTCAATCAAACAGACTCCAGCCTCTCCACAATGGAAAAGACCAGAGAGCTGTGTAAGGAAATCACATACAATTTTGCCTGCACAAGGCTGTGTGTATTGATAATTGTACCAGATGTTTTTTTTTTAAATATATTTTTAATGAATTTTGTAAGTAAATTGATTGTGCACTTAAAACAGTTTTCATATACCGCTTTTAATTGTTGTCTTGGATATTCTGTTTGTTTGTCTTCTGTCTGATGGTTGTGTGAACTGCCTTTTATTTCTCTAATTAATTTTCTCTGTGTGATAGAGTTCCTGTGCAAGGAATGCCCCAGAGTGCACATCCACTTCAACCGTCTGGACATAAGGGAAATCCCTGCTGAGCCAATCTTCTTTCGCAGGTGGCTACATGAAAGATTTGAAATCAAAGACAAGTGAGTATCCAAAGTAGCCACTAATCCATCACAGTCACCAGCTACAGTACATTACTGAACATTTATTTATTTTGTTTATGGTATGTTGACAATCACTTATCACTGCAGGTTTCCCACTATCATGGAAAACTTAGAAAGGTCCTGGAAAATGTATTGGTCAGAAAAAGTGTTTGGGAGGTTATTTTGAAACTGTTGCTTGCAAGAGTTACAGCTAAAAGCTACATATACAGATGGCATCATTGAAATGCCTATCTCTTCTGATTAGTTTACCCAGTCCATCTTCTGTTCGGTCTAAATCCCATCCACCTAAGTAATTAACATTCCTGTTGCATATTTCCTCTGTGAGAGATACGAGACCAGTCATCAGTAATCATGCCATCGGCCTCGCACCGTTCTCCCGCGGCCCATATAGCCTCGTCCTGCTCGCCACAGTAAACATATAATGAATGACGACTGTAGAACGCAAAAGCCAAATCCCGGACATTTTGCGCGATCTTGAAACACATTTTTGGGCAGACTTATCATGGAGACTCACTAGTAGCCTAGACTTGTTGTTTAACTACTGCGCTCTGTTACCAGTAGGCGTGGCCTCCTAGGGCAGCGAAGCAAGTGCATTCTGGGAGTTGTTGTCTTTCATCCACATAAGCCAAAAATACATTTTCTGGCTTTTCTCAGTCCAGAAAGCTCCAAATTAAAAAATGTTTTTCACATTTCTTCTACATAAATGACCCATTTTAAAATACACATTCTTCTTTCCAGAGGTGAAGTATCCCTTTAATCTGTATTGTGCCATACTGTAGGTCAAGTTCACAAAATAAGTTACAGTAAAAAGTTAATAGCACATTACACTGTGTATCATGTGCTTACTAAATGCACCCAAATGGTTAAGAAAAGCTTACGCAAGTTGGTCAGAATCAAGGCACCTTTATAACATAGCACTTTATAAAATGCTGATAATTTCAAAGGAGCTTTACAGTGATAACAGAAAAATTATGCATTTTGGCTGTGGTTCAGCTGAAGTCAGTTCAGTGTTAATTCAATTCTGTTGTAAAGATCTTCATTTATTAAATTAGTTAATTTCATCTATAATGCAGTTCTGCAAAAAATTGTCATCTTCCAGTCCAGTTCAGTTCTTATGCAACCGTGTCAGATCAGTAATTTTGTTGAATATTAAGTGTCCCTGTGGTGGATTTTCCCCTACGCACCCTGACTTAAGTTTACATGGGGAACAGTCTACAGTTGACACTTTATAAAATTATACTCTGGTGAATTTAATTTTTGGAAGAGATTTTTGAAAGGGGGGCGTTTAGGTGTTTTTGAGGTTTACATCAAAGCGTTCACAAGTGTACATCAAAGATCCTGGCAACCTGCCTGCCCTACAACATTCTAAAATCTGACAGTTTAATGCAACATGTAAGCTATGAATTGTTTCTTTTGCAATGACTTTACTTTTCCTGTCATAGAATGACTAGAATCCAGCTCTCACAAGAAACAGCATTCTCATACACAAAAAATGTGTTTATGTGAATTAACGTACCTAAATGTGATTATAGAATGAGCGCGAAACGTTGTTTGGATAGTTTCAAGATGGCTAAAAAATAATTAATAATACAACAATAATTTAATTGTTCATGTGTTCTTGTTAGGAGATTTTGTATTTTATTTTACTGATTATGAACACAAATAAATCATGACAAATTAATTTTAGTTGTATTAATTATTCCATTGATGAAAACACAACCTGATACCATGGTATTTAGGCCTACTTATAACATAGTTTTTCAGGAAAAATCATGATTGTAATTTTTTTTTTCCAACGCAAGGTAAACTATGCAGCTTCTTGCAACAATCTCCTCTTGCAAATTTGTTATTTAAAATGTAGGAACGGTCATAATAGAAGCAATTCGGTTGCAACGCGAATACAGTGTGGCACGCTCGTTGATCTCATTCTGCAATATTCGACATTCTATGTAAATGTCTTGGAAATAGAGAGAAAAATTTGTGCTGTAAAAATAATGATTAATGCATGCTAGCACATTGCACTGTATCATCTCCTGTCATTTACCACATCCTTGAAAATGTTACTTGAATTGGTGGATCTGTTGGACATTTTGATTGATAAAAACATTGGCAAAGTAAAAGAGTTCAAAATTAGTTTTGTTTGACAGTAAGACTATGAATCTACAGTGTTCTATTTAGCTCACCTTGATTATGGCAGAAAAAGTTAAAGTTTTGCCTTTCTTAAACAAAACAAAAATAAAAACATTTCTCATTTCTCTTTGTTTCTTTAGTAGTACAAAATCATATTGCCAGAAGGTAAAAGGACCTCATAGCATCTGCACAAACTCTTTCTTCACAAATCACATAAATATTATATATCATGGCTATATCATTATTTTATTTAAATGTTTTGTTAAATCATGGGAATGAATTAATACAATGTTCTCACATTTTAACAACAAAAATGAATTTTTTAATCAACATTATAAAGTGTATCATTTCTTTTAATTTTAATATTGTAAGCAGAAATGTTAGAAAACTACGGAGCCCGGGAAGTCACCTATGGGGAAAAAAAAAAAACAATCCGAGGTGACGATTTTGAAATCCGTTCCCCTTAGTTTATAAACTGTACTCACGAATTCTTAAAATGTTCCCTCGGTTTAAAAATTCGTGCCCACGGATTAATAAACCGTACCCACGAGTTCCTAATCCGTGCTCTCAGATTTGTAAACCGTGCCCTCAGTTTTTGCAATCTGTACCCACAAATTCATAAACCGTGCCCACGCTTTCGCAATCCGTACTCATGGGTTTGTAATCCGTACTCACGGATTTGTGGCTCGTCCCCCAGAGTGTGCCAGATGATTCAACCAGGCCTCCTGTTTAGATGCGGGATGCATTGCATTGTTTTTAAAATCCTTTTTTTAAATGGATAATTTCTTGCATTTTCTAAAAAAAAAACTACATTTAGGCTACTTTTATCTTTAAAGTCCATTTTTTTAGAGGAAAAAGCTCAGTATAATAAACGAAAAAAATAAATAAAATAATAATAACACACAGTTCAAAAACTGTAAAAGATTTGGTTATAGCCTAAGTTATAAATTATTTTATGTTAAACATATTACTGTCTTCGGTGAACTCATTCATAGTAATAAACGGAAATAATAATTAACGTTAGCTATCAAAAATCCATTTAGGCTACATAGGCCTATTTAGAAGACACTTTTATCCACAAAAAAAGTCTTAAGTGCTTCCCCCCCCCCCCCCCACACTTCCTGGGCTCCGTAGTAAACGGCTTTCATTAAAAAAATGTACAAAAAAAACAACAAAAGCAATAATTCAGCTTGTTTTTACATTGATTGTGGAAAAAAATAAACTTTGATAATGAGGCTGAAACTGGAAGAACAATCAAGCAAAGTGTCTTTTATAAGATTTTAACAGAGATGCTCTGTCTGTAAGACAGACAAAGAGGGTTATTAGGTTCTTATCCCCTTCCCCGATGTGTTAGGGCTTGGTTAAAACCGAAAAACAACTCCTTGGATGGTATTCAGGCATTGTCCACACTAATACATTTTCATTTAAAAAATGCATCTTTTTCATCTGTTTTTGGCCTTCCTTCCATACTGAGATGGTTTTTTTAACGGAAATTACACTTTTTAAAAAAAACGTTTCAAAGTGGAAAAATCTAAAAACACTGTTTTCACGTTATAGTATGCACTGTCAGTGGTATTGTACCTGTAATGTGCTATTCACACGGTTGCTAAAATGTTACTTTAGTACACTCTTCATATCATAGACCTGCCATGACAGAAAATGTACTTGCATTTGCTTTCCTGCAGCAAAACATGAGAGCAGTTGCGCTTAGACCAAACATATAAAGGTGACTGAGTGCGACCTGGACGCATCAGTGAATGGTAATATTTTGCTAAATAAAATCCTACCAGAACAATTGCATGGTGGTAACTTTATTCCTTGATCCATCTACATAGTGTCAGTGAGTTTTTATGAGGGTGAGCATGAGCAGTAAGGTGAATTTTGTGTTTTCTGATCTTGATTCAGCTTGAGCAAATTTCCAACTTAATTTGCAGCGGCAACCTAGACCGAGAATCACTGGGCCTGAACGGGTCAATTGGTGGAAATTGAACGAACAAAAGCAGCAGCTTGCGATGGCCCTCCAAGCATTAGACGAGTACTGGAGCGAGTACTTCGCAGCCATCTCAAACGAAGAGTTCCCACATCCACCTATCCACAGCTTGGATCCCACCCCTGGACCTGTACCGCCAATTACTGTCTCTGAAGTCACGAAGGCCGTGAAGAGGTTGAAGAATGACAAAGCCACCGCCCCAGACGACATCCCTGCTAAAGCCTGGAAGTTGATGGGGCACAGAGGAGCTGAGGTCCTTTCCACCTTATTCAACAAAATCATTACTGAGGGCAAAGTCCCGCACATTTGGACGCTCAGCACCACAGTGCCGATCTGGAAGGGCAAGGGGGACGTTGCTGAATGCAAGAACTATCGGCCGATTCGACTCCTATCCCACTCCATGAAGATTTTGAACGCATCCTGGACAGCCACCTTCGTAGCATTATTAAAATCAGTCCAAATCAATGCGGCTTCGTCAAAGGACGTGGGACCATAGACGCCATCCACGCTGCCCGCCTCCTGATGGAGAAACACCGGGAAAAGAACAAGCCAGTCCACATGGTCTTCCTGGATCTGGAGAAGGCTTTTGACCGCATTCCCCATGATCTCATCTGGGCCTCTCTCCGACGTCACCATGTACCTGAAACCTACATCAGCTGGGTGCAACTCTTTATACCAAGACGTCAGGAGTGTGGTCCGATCCACAGCTGGGATATCATCCCCTTTCAACATCAATGTAGGAGTCCACCAAGGATCAGCCCTTTCGCCCTTCCTGTTCATTACATGCATGGACACATAGACGCCCCACCCATGGTCCTTACTCTATGCTGATGATGTGTTCCTTGCCGACAGGGAGCGG